AAACTCACTGGATTAGTGGTGCTGAGTTGTAGGGTACACGTTCTCGTTTAAATCTCACTGCAGTAGTGGTGCTGAGTTGTAGGGTACACGTTCTCGTTTAAATCTCACTGCAGTAGTGGTGCTGAGTTGTAGGGCACACGTTCTCGTTTAAATCTCACTGGATTAGTGGTGCTGAGTTGTAGGGTACAAGTTCTCGTTTAAATCTCACTGGATTAGTGGTGCTGAGTTGTAGGGTACACGTTCTTTTTTTGTTTGCGACTTTTTCATATATTTGGCATGAAATTTGTCTTCTATTTAATCTTGCCAGAGGTGACATTCTACATACCTTTTACACACCAAAAATGAAACGTAGTGGAGTAATTTACATAAAAATGTCAGAAACTTCTAGTAGCCGTAGAATTAGTAAAGTGACTAAATGGCTTCGGTTTTCCTATCCTGATTTATAGAGTTAAACCATAATAACTGACCATGAATTTTGTTTGCTGTGTTATTTCGTTTTACTAAAGTTTTGTTGTTTTTTTCAGGGTCTTTGACTTAACATAAGTCAGTAAATCCTCGCTTCATAATCCTAGACTCTTACTTAGAGGTGAGTAGAGACTTGTTCCCCCACTTTCTTTCCGAAAAACACGTTAAAAACACGGCAAGCTTCACCGCCAGCACCTGGCGTCCCAGACCAAGCGACAGTGAAGTTGGCTCCCCCTTAGTATGGTGCCCTTGGCAGCTGTGTGTCACCTAATGGGTGCCCAGCTCTGGTCCTCCGTGACTCGCGGTTTCCTTTCTGGATTTAATTGACCACATCCTGATGTATGGTGCACCATTCCCAAAAAAAGACAAACTGTCATGTTACAATTCAAATATCTCTAAAATATCTCGTGGTGCACTGTAAAAACAGTGCATCACAAGTTTTAAAACAACACACCTGTCTTTGAGTTACAGTACAGCACTGCTGTCAGATGCAAACACATATCTCCAAATATCATTTTTAAGTCAAAATTTTTCAGGGGAGTGGAAAAACACATTTTCTCAGTAACTACTTTACGGAATAAATCTAAAACAATGTGATGTGACACGTTAGGGCACAAGTACACCGCTATCTTTACACAACCATGAGTAAACAGTTTAATGTTTTACATGGATTTTGAGGGGAAAAAACATCTGAACACGTACATATTTACAGTAGCAGATATTTTTATCCAATGCAATGTACAAGTGAGGCAAATAGCACATTGCAAACATCCATGATGTCATGCAGTCGACTAGGCATAAGTGCAGTTAGGCTGAGCTTCCAGTGAATGCCCAGGTACAAGTACAGCCAGGCTGAGCTTCCAGTGAATGCCCAGGTACAAGTACAGCCAGGCTGAGCTTCCAGTGAATGTCCAGGTACAAGTGTAGGCAGGCTGAGCTTCCAGTGAATGCCCAGGTACAAGTACAGCCAGGCTG